ATTTCATTTGTAAAACATTCCTTGCATTTCAATTCAATTGAAGTATTCATTTGAAGTGTTTCTTGCATTGCATTGTTTTACATCTTTTACATTACATTCACTTGAATTGCATTACAATCGTCAATTCCTTCCGTGGATCCTTCGTCCGGAATTAGAGCTTGTATCAAGTGGTATCGGAGCAAGTCTTGGCACCTATGTGGAGATTGAAGACTATGATGGCTAAAGGAAACAATGATTCAAGGAAGGTTGAAGAGTCGATCGAGCGAGTTAAATCGGGTGATTTCGATCTCTCTAAAAAACAAGATGGTATGGCTTACCGAGTATACTTTAGAAATGGCAGAAATCAAAGGATCGATTAAGTGCATGCATTCGAATAGACATGAACCAAATGTCGATCCTAGAATGAAATATCCTATGCAAGCGAGAAAATGTGAACTTAAGAGATAATGGCTAGAATGATGAAGTTAGGAGTGTGACTTTGATGGTAGAAATCAAGATTTTAATGCCGGATATCAAGCAAATACACGACCGTCTAGGATTGAATTTCCTAGATTCGAAGGTGAGGATCCGAAAGGGTGGATCTTTAGGTGTGAAAGGTTTTTTGATATTGATAAAAAAAACTTAGGGAATCCGAGTCGGCTTAGCCTCCATTCATTTAGAAGGGAAGCTCTAGAATGGTATCGAGTTTTTGTGAAGACGAAGGGTGAACATGCGAGGGTTAATTGGGAAGAGTATGTAGAGGCTTTAAACGCCGGACTAAGAGCAATGGCTTATAGTGATCCTATGGTCGAGCTAATGAATTTGAAGTAGCGAGGGAATATATAACACCATATTAAAATATTCATATCTTTAGTCAACAAAGTGACTTTACTCGAGGAATATATTATGAGTTACTTCTTGAAAAGTTTCAAACCCGAACTATAAATACCTATCGAATGTTGAGGCCGAGAACCCTCAAAGACTTAGTTTCCTTAGCTAAACTACAAGAACTCAACCCAAACACATCTCATATCGGACCAAAACTCAATCCTAAGCATGTTAACCAAGTTTGGCCTTCGTTAGTAGACCCCGACACAAGGCACAAGCCACAATTATCCAAACCTACATGCACCTAATTCCCTTCAAAACATACCTACCAATAACTCAAACACACAAAAAGGCTTATTAACTTAACCCCTTCAATTCTAGAATCACAACTCGACATTTAAAACCCAAAAATTACCTACCAACCAAGAAATGGATGAGAGGAAACTAAGAGGTCGAGTGTTACTTTTGTGATGATAAATATTTCTCGGGTCACAAATGTAAAGGAAGACAATTATGCATATTGGAAGTAGAAGAAGTTGAGGAAGAATGAGAGAAGAAGGAGTCGGTAGGGGATGACTATAAGGATGACGAGTGAGGAAGCTTATATTAGAGAACTATATCGATTTCGGTAAATATTGTATTTGGTAGGAATCAATTCAAGATGATGAAGGTTAGGGAAAAGAAGAACAATCGAGGTATGGATATTCGATTGGCATCGGTAGTACTCATAATTTTTTGGATATCGATTTGCTAAACTCCCGAATTATGAGTTGTCTAAAATTACTCCACCGACTATCAAGGTAGCTGAAGGAACTAAGATTTTATGTGATTTGGTTTGTGAAGATTTTCAATGGAAAATTCAGCACCATTGTTTTAATACAAGGGCTTTTATGATACCATTGGGAATATATGATATGACCTAAGGCATTGAATGACTCTATAGCTTGAGGGATATAATTTGGAATTTCCGGATGTTATGGATGAAGTTCCTTTAGAAGGGTCACATGTTGATATTGAGGGGCAAGTCCGCAAGAATGTGGACTCGTATGAGGAACAAGTGGTGAATTAAATGCTTTATCATCAACAACAACTAAATTAGGTACAATTGAACCAAGTGCTACCAAAGGAGGATGATGATATGGAACTACTTAAGCTAGAGGTTACCGAAATAATACTTGTGAAATTGCGGGAAGTGTTAGAAGAATTCTCATATGCGTTTGAAGAGCCAAAAGGTCTACCTCCTCAAAGAGGCCATGACCATAAGATTGTTTTGAATGAGGGAGCATAGCCTATTAGCATGAAAACCTTACCGGTATCCTTCGTTCAAAAGGATGTCATAGAGTAGATGGAGTAAGACATTCTAGACACTCGGTATAATTTGTGCCGAGTACTAGTCCTTTTTCTTCTCCAGTAGTCTTGGTTAAGAAAAAGGATAGATCTTGGAGGATGTGTGTGGATTACGGGAGAGTCAATCAACTTACCATTAGAGATCAATTTCCCATTTAAAATATTGAAGAACTCCTAGAGGAATTGCATGAGTCCGTGGTGTTTTCCAAGCTCGGATTTAAGGGCAAGATATCATCATATAAGGCTTTTTTGAATCCGATATATATATAAAATCGCTTTCAAAACTCAAAATGGTAATTATGAGTATCTTATCATGGCGTTTGGTCTTATAAATGCCCCTAGTACTTTTCAAAGTCTCATGAATCATATTTTTCAACCTTTTTTATGAAAATTTATCTTGGTTTTCTTTGATGATATCCTTGTTTATAGAAAAACCTTACAAGATCATGTAAAGCATTTAAGAAAAACCCTTTTACTTCTTTAAAAAAATGTTTTGTTTGCAAAAAAATCCAAATGCACTTTTAGCACTCTAAAAGTGGAATACATGGGCCATTTCATCTCTCGCTATAGATGTTGAGACCGATAGGAAGAAAATTATAGCTATGCAACTTGGCCTCAACCTAAGAATCCGAAACAACTCGGGGGATTCTTAGGCTTAACATGCTACTATAGAAGATTTTTTCAAAGGTATGGTACAATAGCTAAACCACTCGCCGATCCATTGAAAAAGGATGCTTTCTATTAGACATCGCAGATCGAGGTTGCATTTCAACAGTTGAAGGAAGCTATGGCCAACACTTCGTTTTGGCACTACCTAACATGGCCGAGGAGCTTATGGTGCAAACAGACGCTTCATGAGCGAGTATTAGAGTTGTGCTTGATGCAACAAGGCTATCCTATAGCTATATTAGTAAGATGTTATCCCCAAAACACCAAGCCTTTTCGTGTATGGGAATGAACTCTTTGCAATATTGTTTGCCATTAAGAAGTTGCACCGAGTATCCGTTAGTGAAGCATTTTGTTATAAGGACGGATCATCAAAGCCTTAACACATTTGCTAGAGTAGAGACTACATACAACTTCGTAACTTACATGACCGGTGAAGTTAATGGGCTACCATTATGATATAGAGTACAACAAAGGTAGAGAAAACAAGGTTGCGGATGCACTCTCTAGAGTGACTATTATGGAATTATCTACCCCGGCCATTTCATTCGTTTCAACGGATATACTACCTAAAGTGGTAGCTTCTTGGTACCAAGACCTTTCTCTAAAGACTATCATTGCTCAACTTCAAGCGGATGCTTCGCTCAACCTAAATTTCAGTGGGTTAATGACAAATTGTCGAGGAAAGGTAAGATGGTGGTAGGCGCCGATGATCATTTACGTATACAACCGATTTCCTTATTCCATGACACTACCTGTAGGAGGCGATTCGGGTGTGGACGTTACAAAAAAGAACATAACCGTGCTTTCTACCGGAAGGAATTATTAAAGGTGGTTAGGACCTATGTTTACAACTCGCCCAATTGTCAATAAAGTAAATATGAAACTACTGCTCGGTCCGGGTTTCTTACGGCCCTTGCCAATTCCATAAGCCATTTTCATGGATGTGACTATGGATTTTATAGATGGCTTGTCGGTTCTCAAGGTAAGAATGTGATCATAATGGTGGTGGATCGATTAACTAAATACAACCATTTTATTGCCCTAGCTCATCCTTATATCGCCCAATCCGTCGCCCAAGCTTTCATGGACCATGTGTTCAAATTCCATGGCTTACCTCTAACCATTGTCTCCGATAGGGATTCGAGTATTCTTGAGCAAATTTTAGAGAGAATTGTTTGCATTGGAAGGTGTTTCATTGCACTTTTTTATTGCTTATCATCTATAATCCGATGGTCAATCGAAGTGGTTAACCGATGCTTATAAACATATTTGCGTTGCATAACTTCGCAATTCCAAAGAATTGGGCTCGTTGGCTATCTATGGCTGAATTTTGGTATAACACCAATTGTCATTCTACTACCTAGATGTCCCCATTCGAAGCTCTATATGGTTATTCCCCTCCCTTGCATCCGCCATACTTTCCTAAAGATTCTCAAGTGGAGGTAGTGGATCAATTCTTGTAAGATAAGGAGGTCATTGTAGAATTACTTAAATTCCATCTTCAAAGGGCTCGATAAAGGATGAAGAGCTTGGTTGATAAGCATAGAACCGATTCGGTCTTTCGATTGGAGGATTGGGTTTACGTAAAATTACAAGCTTATAGACAAGGCTCGGTGGCTCATCGCAAGTAACCACAAATTGTCGCCTCGATTTTATGGACCGTTTAAGATCGTGGATAATGTGGACGAGGTAGCCTACACTCTGGACCTCCCTAGTCATGTGCGGATTCATCCCACTTTTCCATGTGTCTCACTCGAAACCAGCTAGAGGAAATCTACCCGATCTTAAGTCGAAGAGAGGCCGACATGGAAATGAAAGTTAATAAGTAATCGACGTGGAGAGGAAGTTAGCTATGACGAGTTAGTAGTTAGCACGACCGGCTATGATTATAGGTGTAGTAGGGGAGATGGAGTTGCAGCGAGCGGGAGAGCATATACCATGACAACCGGCTTAACCGAATCGGTTAGTTGTTAGGGGTTAGTTGCTAGAGTTAGACTATAAATAGAGAATGATATGAGAGAAGAGTATGTTGGATATTTTGTAAACTTGTCCTTTCTCCGATATTCTCTTATCTCTATCAATTTCTTTGAGATTTCGTTTGTAAAACATTCTTTGCATTTCAATTCAATTGAAGTATTCATTTGAAGTGTTTCTTGCATTACATTGTTTTACATCTCTTACATTACATTCACTTGAATTGCATTACAATCCGTCAATTCCTTCGTGGATTCTTCGTCCGGAATTGGAGCTTGTATCATTATCCTCTCAAATCGTATAAAAACAAGTTTTTTTTCTCTCTCTAATAAATCTCTCTACATTAAATGAGAATCATAATAACGTGTTTTAGTTTAAACTAATCTATATCTCATGCTATGTTGTGAGTCGAACATATTTTTTTTCTAGTTCGATAGTCTATATTATGTTGTTGATCAACTAAAATATATAAAATTAAAAGTAAAAAAAAATTCATCTAATTCCATAATTTTTAATTAAAAATTATATTTAATTTATTCTTGTTTATGTTTTTCATAAATTTTGTAATTACAAAAACACAATACTTATTCTTTAAAATTGATATTTTCGAGTTTGTTGTTTCTTATGAAAAATCTCATCGATTAATTTTTATTTTTTAATATAATTTGATTGTTGAAAAATATGATTTATTTTTTCTATGTAGATTTTGGAATAAGTTTTTTTTTCAATAAACACAATTCTTCTTTATTTTTCTATAAATTTTGAAATTAAAAAACATGACTTGTTATTTTTTAAATAAAAACCTATAATAAAATAAATATAGAATTTTAAAAACATCTTACCACAACATCAGCTTGAATGAAGTTCATTATACTTTACTTGTTTGTTAATGACTATTCAAGAAGATTGAAGAAAAGAGTAGCATAGTACCAATGAGTCTATATTCACAATAAACATGGGTCTAAATGAAGAGAAAATGAATAATAAACATTTCAGATCTTTTATTTTTTAATAATTTACAACAAATGCTACTGTGCCATAGATGAGTAAATAAATGGTAAAAAATAATAAATATCTCAAATCTTTTAGGGTTTTTTTTAGTGTTATATTTAGTTTTTTTTTTTTTTTTTTTGTTATATTTAATTAGTTCATTGTTCCTTTTGACCTCTGAAGGCTAATCCATATAAATTGACTAAAATATCAACAGTACTCCTTGGTACTTGTCACTTCTTTCCGCATAGTTCATGACACATAAAGGCACTAATTTTTTTTTATATAAAATATAATATAATGCTCCGTTGATAAACCAATTCTCATCTTCTATACCACTTTGATAAATGTAGATGGAGGCGGGTGGTCTGGCGCTGGAGTCTTCTCAAAATGCTTCTCCACTTCATCTTCTTAAGTCTCAATTTTTCTTTATTTTTTTCTAGTTAAACTATTCTTGCCGAATCACATAATTTGCATGCACTTTTATTGGATCAGTTGTAACAGCTAAATCTCTATCACTTCTTTAAATCATGCATCACTACGAAGACCCGTATCAATCCAGTGATGAACTCAATGATTTTTGCCATTAAAGAAGAAAAATAGAGGACTGGGCGAACATAGATTTTTTTTTCAGTATGAAAGATTGGAATTGAGTAGAAATGTTGAATATGAAGATAGTACACTAAAACAGATGAGGTCATTAATAACGCAAGTCAATCTTAAGAACCACGCAAATTATGAAATTGAAAAAAAGATGTCTCCATACAAAATCAATAACATCTAGTGGATTATGTTAACAATTTTTTTTTCAGTTTTTGCGTTAATAATTTTTTTTTAAATAATTTTAAAAGTATAGTTTTTACATTAATTTAATACATTTAAGAAAATTTAATAATTTTTTAACTATCAACTTTATGATTAGAATCCAAAAAAACTAAGGAATTTTTTTATAAGTTAAAACACTATTGAAAAAAAATAAATATCTTTGAAAATTGCGTATAGTTTTTACATTAATTTAGAAAATTTAATAATTTTTTAAATATCAACTTTATGATTAGAATCCAAAAAACTAAGGAATTTTTTTTATAAGTTAAAACACTATTGAAATAAAATAAATATCTTTGAAAATTGCGTATAGTTTTTACATTAATTTAATACATTTAAGAAAATTTAATAATTTTTTAAATATCAACTTTATGATTAGAATCCAAAAAACTAAGGAATTTTTTTTTATAAGTTAAAACACTATTGAAATAAAATAAATATCTTTGAAAATTGCAATTTATATTTTCAAAGCTCTCCTCTAAAAATAAAAAATAAAAAATTGGGGCCATCGCCATGAACTCCAATTTTATTTTCTTTTTGATTATGATACAATCACTTTTATGATATTTGTTTATTTTAACTCAGAAAATTGCAATTTTTTTTTTAGATTCAATATTTGATTAACGTTTATTGTATGGAAATGTAAAGTGCAAGCTTTTAAAACAAAAGATTCAAGGCTTGCTAGTTTTAGAAAAATAGGATGGAAAGTTGGACCATTTAGATTTTTTTTTTTTTTAATTTTCCACTAATAATTGATCATGCTCGGAGTTTATTAAAATCACAACTAATTTAGTCTCTCCATAATCACAATGCACGTATGCAAACAACAATTTCTTATTTTTTAGAAGTTCGGGAAATTTCCTATTTTTTAAAAATGACAATTTTTTAACTCTCTTCTATAACTTTTTTTTTTTTTATATACCTTACATTCGCAATACACTTCTCGCAGCCTTAACCATCTTTTCTATTTTTTTTTTTTTCAGTTTTATTCTAACTTGACTTTTCTTTGTAATGGCTCTCTTCTTTCTCGTTTCATGATCTAAGTCGGCATTGGCCCGCAATGTCCGAAGAGTCCGTTCAAGTTCCGTAAGAACTTCTAACTCCCGAGAGTGCATTGTAACCGCAACAAATTTCTCCATTTTTTTTTAACTTTCCTCTCCATCTTCTTTAATCTATATTGCCACCCAAACCACTCAAGACTATTCCTAACTGGGTCATTAACAAAATGTTCAAATCGAAAAAAAAAAGGAGGGTCTTTGCATTTCCTCCCAAGTCGAGCCACGGATTTTTGCTAAGTCTTGAAATTCTCTAGTGTCTCACTTATTACAAAAATCCATCGAGTAATCATGATTCTCGACTATAAGTCTTTTAACTCCAACTCGAGTGCGGTATCTTTTCCCTCAACACATGGATCTCTTTATCACTCAAATAGTTCCATAGATTAACTACCTTGGACATCAAGCTCGTAACTTCATATGCCGGTATGCCAATTGTTTTCTTATCGGCTTCTATAGAGACTTTTCGTATATTCCACCCACAATTACTAAACCACGACTTAGCCACCATCTCCCTTACCATTCTAATAGCATGCAAGTAGAACCATAGTTAGATCTACAAAAAATAAAGGCTTCTCTTCTCCATTTTGATCGTAGTGACAACCCTACCCCATCTCATAAAATCTCTCTAGGCAAAAAAAGAAGAAAAACTCATAGCCACACCCTATCTTCCCACAACAAGCTCCGCCCATCCAAACCGATTAGGAAAAACACCCACTATCCTCTTCCACACCAAAACCCAGCCATAAAAACCCATCGTCAACAACCCCTGCTACCACCAAAACTCACTCGCCAACACCCCTCGCCATCGCTCGCACAACGATTGACATGAGTAATTTTTGTTGTCTTGTAGAGACATATGAGAAAGAGAGGTATTTTTTGTTAAGCAACGGACGTGAGAAAGAGAAATGTTTTATTTTTATTTTTTTCAATCACGAAGCGGTGTTTATTTTCATGAATTAAAGATTATTGGAGATAAGATCCGATAATGTGATAATAACTTATTTGTTGATTAGATTACATTATCTTTTTTTTAATCAATCAGTTTACAAAACAAAAGAATAAAAAAAGAAAGAAGATAAAATCTAACGACTATAACAAGAGCGAGATGAAGGATCAACGGGTGGAAAATGAAAACGAGTAACAAAGAGTCTTAGTCCACAGTAGTTTTGAGGGTAGATGAACGAGTGTTTATACGATAGAACACTTCGGATCTTTTAGATTTTTTAGTAATATTAATTTTATTATTAAATTCCACAATTTCATTAATTTATTAAATATTAACATTTCTCTCTCAATCCTTATTACGTTGGAATAATTTCATTAATTATTTAACTCATCTAATTAATTCATCCTATCAAATCAAATAAAAAAGGTTTCTTTTTTCTCTAAATTTCTCTCGCACCAAACAAACTTATAATAGCAACACCTTTTAGTTTCTATATAATTTTTAAATTCCACAATTTCATTAGCTTATAAAATATTCTACATCCTTTCTATGATAAAATATTTCATTATCAATTCACACCACAAAATAGCTATTTTTTTCAATTTACTTCTTTTTTCAATTGTGCATTTCAAAGTTTAAACTCTTAGTTATATATAATAAAATGTTTTTTTTTTTGAAAAAAACCTAACTACTTCGGAGTAAATTATAAATTAGTCTTTTTAGTTTCAAAAAATAAATAAATTATTTTTTTTTGTTTCAAAGTTTAAACTCTTAGTTATATATATCTTAGTTATATATAAGAAAATGTTTTTTTGTTTTAAAAAAACCCAAGTACTTTGGAGTAAATTATAAGTTAGTCCTTCTAGTTTAAAAAAAATTAATTATTTTTTTAATTAAAAAACTATTATTTAATTTTTTAATAAGTGTTTATTATGTTTAATTTAATATTTTTTTTCAATAATTTTTTTTAATAATTTTTATTTTTTAAAATAAAAAATTAAAATAAATAAAAAATTAAGAAACTAATTTACAAGTAGATATTAAAATATAAAATTAAGGAATTAGTTTTTGAAACGAGGGAAAAAACGAGATGGACTAATTTATAATTTACTCAGCTCCTTCGAGGTTTAAAGCTTAACCAAAAAGAAGGGGAAAAAAAAAAAGACCTGAGTACCACTCGACCGCACCCAACTGTTCTTTTTCCTACAGCTGATTTCTGTTCATTTCAGTTTTGTAGTAACAAATCCATTTAAATCAAAACCAACAACGGAGGCAGCAAAAAGTGTTTGTTTTCGACTTTGAAATTTCAACAAAACTGCATCTAATTCTATAACAACAATCCCTCTTCTACTATTCAAAGATCTTTCAAAAAGAGAGAGAAAAATGTTGAAGAACTTCGTGAGAGAGAACGTGCCTCTCTCTCGATTCGGTGTTTTAGTCGCACAGTTAGAATCCATAGGCGCCTCCGCTTCTCAACAATCCCCTGACCCTCTCCTGTCTTTCGATCTCCTCTCTGATCTCATCTCCGCCATCGATGAAGAGCCACTGGTCCGTCCCTTTCTCTCTCTCTCTTCTTTTCTTAAAACGCCGCGTTTTGAATGCTTCTTCTTAACTTGAATTTTAGAAACTAATCAAAATGTACTGATCTTCATAGTTATTATTATTTTTTTTAATCCCGGTGCGCTTTGGATTTTCTTTGAATTTATCGTTTTTTGGTTTAATAATGTCAGGAATCTATTTTGTTATGGCAAAGAAAATGCGAGGATGCATTGTATTCATTGCTCAAGCTTGGTGCGCGGCGGCCTGTGCGGCATTTGGCGTCGGTGGCAATGGCTAAGATCATATCTAAAGGGGATACTATTTCTATATACTCGAGAGCGAGTAGTCTACAAGGGTTTCTTTCTGATGCGAAGAGGAACGAACCTCAAAGAGTTGCCGGTTGGTTAAAAACATAACTTGTCTTTTATATGCCAAAAGTTATGATACTAAATTAATTCTGTATGCTTGTGGTGTTAACATTTATGAAATTCGATAGCGTAATGGATAAGATTTTCGGTGTTGAAACTCCTTGCGATAATGCATTAATTGGGGAAATGAGGTGCTCCCTGTTTGGATTTATTGCAGTAATTGATTTAAGTTTTTATTTTATTGGTAGCAGCTGTGGATGATCTCGTTTGTATGTGTGCTGCCTTACTTTTTGGGCTACCAAGTCTTTCCTGAGCCCGAAATGTCAGTCTTGTCACTTGGACAGGACGTCATTGGCATATATTAATGTTTGAAGTCTGAATGGGTAAGATTAGGGCATGGAGATGCATCTAGGGTTTTTGAGAATTTTTCTCTTTTGAGGTAGTTGTGGGATAAGAAAGTAGGGTAGTGTTTTTGAATATTTCCTTAGTAGGGTAGCCGGAAAGATTTGAAAATGCTTTTGAATGGATTTTTTGTCCATAGTGTAAAATGATATGTACAGAAGTTTCATGCATTGGCTTTCTGTGGCAAATATTCTTCCGTGTTTATTTCTTCTATTTAGATTACATATATATAGGAAAACAAATGTGTCTAATACTAGGAAAGAATTCTATACAAATCAAATCTCCTAACTTATATATAGGAAAACAAATGTGTCTAATACTAGGAAAGAATTCTATACAAATCAAATCTCCTAACTTCTCTCCCAAATCAGTTAGCTCCTAATTAGCAGCCCCTTGATCCGGCTGCCACTGATTTTCCCTTCTCAACACTCCCCCTCAAGCTAGCTTGTAAATGTCTTCCATAGCTAGCTTGCTTACTCGGAAATCAAACTGTTTCTTCTATAGTCCCTTAGTGAGTATATCAGCTGTATGTTCGGTGGTTGGTATGTAAAGAACACAGATTAGGCCACTTTCAAGTTTCTCTTTGATAAAATGTCTATCCACTCCAATGTGCTTGGTTCTGTCATGTTGAACAGGGTTGTGTGCAATCGAAATGGCAGCCTTATTGTCACAATAGACTTTTATAGGAAGTGACACCGGAATCTTTAGATTTTTGATAACCTCTTGATCCACATTACTTCACAAATCCAATTTGCGAGAAACCTAAACTCAGCTTCAACGCTACTTTGAGCTACTGTATTCTGTTTCTTACTCTGCCAGGTGACTAGATTTCTCCCAACAAAAGTACAGTATCTTGATGTTGATCGTCTATTAGAAATTCTACCTGCCCAATCAGCTTCTTTATAGATTTGAACCTGTATATTATCATGTTTTTTAAACATCAAGCCTCTCCCAGGTGTCCCCTTCAGATACCTTAGTATTCTGTAGGTAGCTTTAATGTGCTTTTGACTTGGCGAGTGCATAAATTGACTTATCATGCTTACTGCAAAGGCTATGTCAGGACAAGTATGTGATAGATATATCAGTCTTCCCACCAGTCGTTGAAATTTTTCCCTATCAATCACATCTTCATCCTTAGTGGGACTGAGTTTTAGGTTAGCCTCAATTGGAGTTTCGGCTAACTTGCATCCCAATAGCTCGATTTCTCCAAGTAAATCAAGGATATACTTCCTCTGTTTCAGGCCATATAAAAATTTCTTGAGCCTACACACTCTATTTTGGCCTACAGTTTTTTCAAACCTGGTGGTGGACATCTAAACACTTCTTCTTCCAAACTACCATTCAGAAATGCATTCTTCACGTCCAGTTGATGTAATGTCCAGTTGAAATTAACTGCAAGAGATAGTAAAACTCGAATAGAGTTAATTTTAGCTACTGCAGCAAAAGTCTCCTGGTAATCAATACCATAGGTTTGAGTAAACTCCTTAGCAACCAGTCTCGCTTTGTATCTTTTTGCACTTCCATCGGCCTTGCACTTCATCGTAAACGCCTATTTACAACCAATTGTTCTTTGGTCTTTGGGCAACTCTACAACTTCCCATGTCCCATTTTTCACTAGAGCACGCATCTCCTCCATTATTGCAGATTTCCATTTTGGATCATCAAGTGCTTCCTGAAGATTTCTTGGAATAAACAGATTAGGGATTTTTGATGTAAATGTCCTATGACTCTGAGATAGTTTATCGTATGAGAGATATTTTGCAATAGGATGGCTAGTACAAGATCGGGTACTTTTTCTAAGTGTTGTAGGAATGTCAAGATCATAGCAAGTATCAAGAACAAGAACAATATTGGATAATAGAGGGTTTAGAGTACCATGCATGTCTACAAGCTCATCATTCAGGATGTCTGATTGATTTTGTGCCTTGGGAATAGTAGGCTTTTTACCATTTTGATGATTCTTTCCCCTTATGTAAACTCTAAACTCAAGTTCCTGTCCTTTAGGATTTTGTGCCTTGGGAAGAGTAGGCTTTTTACCATTTTGATGATTCTTTCTCCTTTTGTAAACTCTAAACTCAAGTTCCTGTCCTTTAGGATCATCTAGTAGTATTTCTCCTCCTTTTGAATTTTCAACATTTTCTGGCTCTATAATATTAGGAATAACCAGTTTTTGGAGATTTTTAAGGGAATCTACGGTTTTAGGCAAGGGAATGGGATTAACTTCCCAAAAATTTTCTTCACTTTGTTTCTCCCCCTGAAGAAAATTTCCCTGAAAAAAGGTTGATGTTCAAGGAAGGAGACATCCATAGTGACAAAGATTTTTCGGGTGCTAGGATTAAAACATTTGTACCCTTGTTTGTTTGGGGCATAGCCTATAAAGACACATTTTTCAGCTTTGGGATCTAGTTTGGACCATCCCCTAGTAGGTAAATGGACATAAGCAGTGCACCAAAAAACTCTTAGCGGTAAATTAGAATAGGTCCGGGCTTCAAGAAAATTTTTTTTAAAGCACGCAAGGGTTGTACTATAGTTAAGAACACGAGTAGGCATCCTGTTTATCAAATAGGATGTTGTTAAAACAGCTTCTCCCCAGAAAAATTTGGGAATATTTTTAGAAAACACAATGGCACGAGACACTTCTAACAAATGTTTGTTTTTCCTTTCAGCAATCCCATTTTGCTGAGGGGTATCGATACAAGTATTTTGATGTTGAATACCCTTGTGTTTTAAGAAATGACCAAGAATCCCATTAAAATATTCAGTGCCATTATCAGTATGAAGAATACCAATTTTTTGTTGGAATTGGGATCTTATTAAAGGATCATCTCATCTAAAAGCTTAAGCTCGTTAGGTAAGGTTTCAGAATATAATTTATATTACTCTCTAACACGCCTCCTCAAATGAATGCTCTAATAGTTGGGCTTAAAACTTGCACGAGTCCACATTGACTTATGCTTAATACTTGAGAAATTGAGGATGGTGAGACTTGAACTCAAGGCCTCTTGGTCAACTAAGCTCCGATACCATGTGGGAAATATTCTGCCATGTTTATTTCTTATATTTAGATTGCATATATATAGGAAAACAAAGGTGTCTCTACTAGGAAAGAATTTTATACAAATCAAATCTCCTAATTTATCTCCTAACTTCTCTCCCAAGTCAGTTAGCTCCTAATTAGCCGTCCCTTGATCTGGCTGCAACTGATTTCCCCTTCTCAACACTTTCATGGTGCTGCTTACAAAAGTTTCTTTTACTGGCACTTGGAGTGATTGCAGAGGTCTATTGTTTTAGTGCATTTTATTGCTGGATGGATACCTCAGCCTACATGTCTTTTTATTTTCATTTCTCTAACTTGCTATGTCCTGTAGGTATGGGCTTTGATTTCCATTGATTATGAATGGGTTAGTGCACATGTTTCTTTGCGTGATCTAACAGTGGGGTGGATCTCTAAGAGTCCCAAATACTACTCACATGAGCCCATGGAAATAATTTCATATGTAAACACCCACCTCCCCAAACCAACCTTTTTCCTATGCAAATAAAAGCTGATACTGATTTCATTTTTCTCTGAGGTTTATCATCGCTTTAAATTGTACAAAGCACCAATTTTCAGTTTTATAAGATGGAGAATGGTAGAGTTCTGTTTGGATTTGGACTTCTCCAAAGACCTAAATGAGGAGTGTCCTTGTTCTATTTTTATTGTTTTTCAAATTTGTTAGATTCTTCTTGACATCCAAGAGTAGGGTGTGAACTTCTGGAGGCATATGTTGTTTTTTCCTGCAAGGCTTTCTATTCTCATCTCTGAACTCAATTCTCTGTAGTCAATTTTATTTGAAAAGTCAAAATGCCGTCCAAGGTAGGCCAGTGCTATTGCATGGGTAATGGTGAATTGTAAATTAGCATGAATGATTTATTGTAATATAGGAAGCAGTACAAGGCTGTCTTTCCTAATATGTGCTCCGTGTTCCATAACAGTGGGGAGATGCAGAGTAGTCTAGTAATCTGAGAGATTTGGAGTTGGTCATTTGCTATTTGAGAGTAATGACTTTGTGCCAGTAGGGTGGAAGGCTTATTGCCGCTGCATTTGGTGGGTTTTGGAAGAGGAAGGATTGTAAAATTTTGTCTAGTTGCACAATGTTTGCAGTTCTCAGTGTTTGTTGGAGAGGAAGTCTAGAATTCTGAAGGATTTTTCTTTGTTGAGTCAACTATTTTAGGATAAGACATTTTTTTTGGCCTCAAATCTTTTAGTGTAATGCTTTTAGGGCTTTAAGGGAGAACTGTAGCTAAACTTCACCGTGGCTCGAAAGCCTGTCCTTTTGTTAGCATTTTTTTCTTTACCTTTTGCTTTATTTTTATTGCACAATGCTGTAATCTTCTAGTGTTTTCAGCTTTAATTGCAGCACCTCGCTCTCTGTCTAACCAATGGTAACAATATTTGCTCTTCACTGGCATTCTATCAGAAACCTATTGTTTGTATAGGATTAGAATTTAGCCATAAAAAGCATGTTACACTATTGCAGTCAGTTAGTGAAGCAATTTTCCGTTTCACTTTTTTTGATGTGTTAAACATTTAATTATTTCATCTTCATCATGTTTTTGAGTATGTGTAGGTGCTGCACGATGCCTGGGAGAATTATATCAGCATTTTGGAAGAAAAATTACTTCGGGTTTGCCTGAAACAACTATTATTGCCACAAAACTTATGAAGTTTCATGAGGTAGTCCAGTTCAATGTGTAATTTGTACATTCATTTATTTACCTTTTTTTTCCTGACCATATTGTACCTTAGTACAGATGTTTATCCTGCCTTACATGCTTTAGCATGCAAGTCCTTTCTCCTTGTGCAAGATATAGGCCATGAAATTCTTAGACTGAAATCTGCTGCAGAAAGATAGGTTTTCTCCTAGTAGTCAGAGACAGAGGTGAACTGCTTAAAGTGAACCAATGGAATAGGACAGGTACGACAAATGCTAGTGGAAAGGACTTGTAGATATAACTTGATACTAGACTGGTTGTTATGCCACTTGAGTGAGACTTTCCTTCTGCAGATTGAGATTCTCAATGTGAGGATTGGTGCTAGTTCCTTTGTTCAATAGATAAAATCTTGTAAGACTGGGACCTGGGGGAGGAATCTTCTTCATGTCAGTCTAATGGAGGCCTGTTCTCTTCAGCTCTGGATGATAGTCACTTGGAGGACAATGTTTTGTCTATTTTGAAACCTTTTTCTTGAATGCTCAAGGAAGAAAGGTTGTCTAGCTTTGCCCTTTCAAGTGGTTGACACTTAACATTAATGAGATGCTCTAAGCTGGAACGCCTCATAAGCTCCCTCCTGCAACCTTGCTTTCTGTTGGATCTTGTGTATGCCATTTTTTTGTCGACTACTAACTTTTGCTAATCCCCTTTATAATGGAGCAGTTTCTAGGATCTTTAGCAGGCTTGTGCGGTTGAAGCTGTGGTCCTCTGTTTTCCTTGCTAAGCATGATGATTTGGTTGAATAGGGAAACTAAGATTTTGAACCTTCCTGATTATTTTGTATTGGACTTTTAGACCTTCTTTCTAGGTTCAGGCGGTAAAAGTTTGGATGTGTTATTATCGGCAGAACTTTATGACTTGTTATTATATAAGTTTACATTATCGGCAGATCCTGGATAAAGCTCTTTTAAATCCAGTTCATGAGGTTCCTCAAGATTCAAGAACAATATTATACAAACACAGAAATAGAAAATCGAAACTGATGGATTGATAGATCTGATTTGGTAGATCAACTATATTAAAAAAATAACTGAAAATGCCTGTTTTATCAGGTTTCTTAATTTTCTCTATTATCTTGCTGAAGATGAAGGCTTCTTGTTCTTTTTTCTTTCTTTCTTTCTTTTCCTTTTTCTTCTTCTTTTTTTTTTTTTTTTTTTTCCAAAATCCATGAAGTTCGACAAGATTCGAGAAAAATATCATACAAACACAAAAGTAGGAAATCGAAATTGACAAATGGATAGATTTGATTTGGTAGATCAACTATATGATTTTTTTTTTTTTTTAATGCATGGTTTATCTGGTTTTATGAAAGCAACCTGTTAAATATTAGCTAACCTTGCTTATATGTGTATGTAATCTTATCTAACTTTTTTGTCAAAGTGAGAAGCAAATAGTGTACCTAATGCTCCGTTCTCAAATTCCTAGAGAATTGTGGATTACTTGTTTTGTTAATTTGTATCATTTAGGGTCACGCCTCAATCAGCGATTAATTAGGTAGTTTGCACGAGAGGGATATTTGTGAGGAATGGTAGTGGTATGGATTTATGGAATGGCAAATGGTCCCTTTATGTTTTGCACCATTTGGAGAGAGAAATTGTAAAGGCATTTGAGAGTATTGAGCATTCCTTCAGTGAGTTGAGGTGTGAACTTACTAAGCAACTTGTTTTTTGTCTGCCTTTTTTGACTTGAACTTTTATTTCTTTGGGCTCCTTGGAATTTCTTAACTTCTATGGTTTTCTAAATTCCTTGAATCATATTTCACCCATGCCTACTTGGCTGAAAAAACTGCTGCATTTATAACAAGGGTAGTTTTCTTTCTTCTTTTTGCTTCTTGACCGTTCATTATGTGTAACTATGCTTTTGGGTATGTTAAACTCCAGGATTTTGTAAGACAAGAGGCTCTACTTATGCTTGAAAAAGCTTTGGAAGGGTCTGATGGTAGTGCTGCATCTACAGCATATACTGAGGCCTTCCGTCTCATCACACGTTTTGCTATTGGAGATAAATCATTTGTTGTTAGAATAGCTGCAGCTCGTTGTCTGAAGGTATTTGCTAGCATTGGTGGACCATGCCTAGGAGTTGGCGAAATTGAGAATTCAGCTTCTTATTGTGTTAAGGCAGGTTTTCCTTAGTAATGTTTTACTTGTTATTTTACCTTCCAGCGTTTAATATTTAAGAATCTGATGTTATAAGCATATAAATTTTTCTGTTGCTCTTTTTAGGCCTTTGAGGATCCTGTATCACTTGTTAGGGATGCATTTTCTGAGGCTCTTGGCTCGTTGCTAGCTCTTGGAATGAATCCAGAGGCACAGGTATGCATAAGTCAAGTCGTTCTTTTCATGGCTTTGTTCTTTTTTTTTTTTTTTTTGGTTCCCATTTTCCTTCTTTTACTATCTTCAAACACTTTCTGCTGTTTCATAGTTTGTTGTCTTTTACTAGGTTCAACCTAGGGGAAAAGGTCCTTTTCCTCTAGCAAAGAAACTAGAAGGTGGTTTGCAAAGGCATTTGGCTTTGCCGTTCTCAAAAGGTTTCAATCGATCACCCAGTATACCTTTGACACCATCTTATCTTCTTCTAAAATCATAGTCTTGGTGTAATGTGTATAGATAGTGTTTTATTTAGTATGTGGTATTTCAAGTTTTTAGGATTGAACATGGAGGAAGTGATTTCTAGTGGAGAAGGAAATCTTGATTTTCAGGGCTCTTTTGTTGATATGGTTAATATGAAAAATCGAGTGATGGTGCTTATTTAGAATAGAAACTTACTTTTCTCGTTGTTTTTGCTGTTTTGTCTTTGGTTATTTATCATTTCTATGTTGTGGTTTTCTTTATGATGCCTTGGATAGCCTGTGAGTAGGTCATCTAAATTGGTGTGTGTGTGTGCATGCTTTTTGGCTTTCTACAACTACTCACAAAGAATACAAATTGCAGCTAGTGGAACTCGGTTGAAGGATGTGCGAATTGGCATAACCGTATCTTGGGTTTACTTTTTACAGGTAAATTTCAGCAAAGAATTTCTTGAAAACTCCTAGCCCCACTTTCTCCTGCCTTTTCCCTGTTCATGCCCCCCGTGTTTTTTTTTTCCTTATGCTTCTACTGTATTACCTATGTTTTTGGTTTCCCATCCTTTGGTTTCCTTTGAAAGATCTATTATATATCGAAAGAAAAACGAAATATATTAATGCCTGAAGCATAAGAGGTTGACATTTCTGTTAATTATGGTGCATTGTTTTTCTTGATTAAGGTCTAATGTTAGAAAATTTAATGCATGAAGCATTTACTAATATTTTTTGTCAGAGCCCATTGTTCAACATCAATTTCTCAACATAGTTGTTGCTCAATTATCTTATTGGTGTGTTGCCTAATAGTTGTTTTAGGTTTGAAGTGTGAGCTTTAGTTTATTACAACCTTGTTATTTGGTTTCTAACTTTGTTTTCTACTCCTTAAATTATATATTGCAGGCAATTCGTCTAAAGTATCTGCATTCAGATGGTGAGCTTCAACACTATGCTTTGCAAGTTATGGAGATGCTTCGCTCAGATACTTCTGTTGATGCTCATGCACTGGTATTTGTCTCACAAAATTTTCATATTTGTTTCTTATTCTTTATTGTATGAAGGATGTTTGAAGAAGAAATAATGACATGCTGTTGTTGTTGTTGTATTGTATTGTTTTGACAAGGCAGAATATAGATCAAACATAGGGAAAGCTGAAGTGGGGCATGACTTAGTTGTTTTTATTTCTGTTGATATTTTCCTATATTCTGGCATCTGATGTTTTGATTCCATAGCGTGTAATTTGTTTTTGTTGTAAAAAAAAATGTTTTTTTTTCTTTTGCAATTTAGTTGTGTTTATCTTCTCGAAATACTTGTTTTAATATACATTGCGATACTATGCTTCTGTTATGGGGATGAGAGGAACTTATGGATGGTGTTTATTATGCTTAACGTCCATGTTTTATGGAAGAGAAAGTAGTTTGAAGTTAGTTGAATGATATTAAATTAATGTAGTGTAAAAGCAGTTTGTTAAATAAATGCTGAATTAGGATTTTCAAATTCTGTAAGTTACTGGCTTTCAGTTGATTTTGAGTAACAAGATTTAGTTGTGATATGCTTTTCGATTTGTCATGCTAGGCTTTTGGTATAACTATGATATGACAGTCTTAGCAGAGTGGTCGGATATACTGGCATCTGAGTATAAGGCTATTATAATAGATGGATTTTTTTTTCTTTTTCGTTTCTATTATGTAGATAGGAATAAAATCAAAACAAGTTGAAGGAATTCAAGTTAATTACTGTGCATCAAGAGCTTGCTCTGTAGCATTCTACATGATTAAAATACCTACTAATTAATCTCTTTGGGTGTTTTGAAGGCTTGCATTCTTTACATCCTCCAAGTTGGTGTAACTGATCAGATGACTGAACCTACTCAGAGGGACTTTTTGGTTTTCCTGGGAAAGCAGGTAGGCTTAAGCAAATTTGAATAAGGTGGAGTAATCATGAGCTGGTTCTTCTCTTGATTCTGTTCTCACTGAAACTTGCAGCTTGAGTCTTCTGATGCCAGTCCTCCCATGAAAATTGCTGCGTTACGTACATTGTCATACACTTTGAAAACATTGGGCGAGGTTAGGCATTACTATACTGTACATTTAAAATGGTTCATTCAGTTTTCTAATGTACTTTTCAAATCTGGTAAAATTTACTGTAAAAAGATGATCATCATGGTCAACATGATTTGAATGATGATGATCCTTTGAGCTGGCTGAAAAGGTGAAACTTATCAACAATACTAATTTAGCATGACATGTATGAGTTTAATCTTTTCTGGATAAACAGTTCTGCTCCAGCCCTGGTGGCTGTTGCTTTGTTCCATCTTTTTAACCCCCTTTGCTATTTATCTTCTCTTGTTTAGGTCCTCTCTTCCCCTTCCTCCTATATTTGGTTCTTCTTTCTTCTTTCTTCTTTCTCTCCTCTGTTTGCCTCTTCTTTTACCTGTCTTGGATAGTTGGGAACACCAAAGTTGTTTCAGTAGTTACTTGCATGTCTCTTCTGTTCACCTATCAGCTGTTGTGTTATGATGATCTCTGTCTTGAACTTCTGTGGTTATATCCATCTTCTAATCAGTCAGATCAGCAGGTAGCCCTTTAGTAGACCTGTCTTGGTCTCTTTCTTATGTGTTAACTCTTAACTTCTTTTCAGCCTCTTTTTGCAATCTCTTTTAAGTTTCTGGTCAGTGGTCCTAGTTTTATCATTCTAATATCTCCAGTTCAATTGAGAAGTGCATCATGTTAGCATGTTGATTTGACGGGACAAGCTTTATGCTTGTTTTTCCTACTAATCAGGATTGCTTTTTGTGAATTACTTGTCAGTGGTTAATACTACATTACAAGACCATTATGCTGTTTTATGTACATTTTCAAATATATGCATAATAATGGTTGTGATGATGTTTTAACATGGGACTTTACCTGTTTATTTTGTAGGTCCCATTAGAATTCAAGGAACTCTTTGATAACACAATTGTTGCTGCAGTATCTCATTCTTCTCAACTTGTAAGGATGTCATCATGTCTTACTCTTTAGATCTTATTAATGAGTCTCCAAATTGTTTTTTCTGTAAAATTTTTGTAAGTTATTTAGAACATTCGCTTGTTTTATCTAGTTGTCAAATAGATGGTAAAGTCCCACTTAAATGTTGTGACAGCTATTTCACTTGAGTTACTATCCTTTTCTTTCTTATGGGCTTATCATGCTCTAAACTATTGTAAATTTAAATTGAAGATTTTGGATGTTAGTATGTTCATTCTTTTAATATTTCTTTCAGAGTGGTAGGATTGTGTCATCATGGTGCAGGACAGAGCTGTAATCTGTATTGCTAAAGAAAAGCGTCTCCTCATTTTTTTCTTGGCTCTAGTGTAAATATAAAACCAGTAAAAATTCTAGTATTTGCTTTTGGGAGGACCTGGGTATGAAAATTTCTTTTTTTGCTATTATGTTTCCTTGTCTTCACCTGCTGCTGTTTTTTATACACTTAATAATGATATTGTATTTGATTTCAATGTTCTAACTCTTCTAGTTTTGCATTTATACGGTTTCTATGGTAGTTGAATTATTAATTGGAAACTTGTGGCTAGGTACGCATTGAGGCTGCCTTGGCATTGCGTGTTTTGGCTGAGGTTGATCCTACATGTGTTGGTGGTTTGATTTCTTATCTTGTGACCACACTTAGTGCTTTGAGAGACAATGTTTCATTTGAAAAGGTATAGTTAGTATTTTGACATGACACTTCCTTTGGCACTAAGTGCTTGTTCTATCGCTGTTGCTGTTGCTCCCTTCTATTTTAATGTCTTGTGTGTGTGAGATGCTGTAATTTGGAATCAATTCAATGCCTGAAGTTCATAGGGTGAAGAAAATTAGGATCCTTTTTCGTGCATTTCTTTTGCTTCTCTCTCTCTCTCTCCCTCCCTCCCTCTCCCTCCTCACATCATATGATCAAACTAATTTCTTGAGTTTAGCAAGATAGAACCTGTATTCTCATAACTTTCCATTTAAAAAAAAGTTTCTGTTGGTTGTTCTTGATTGTTTCCATATTGCCTCCCCTCTCAATTTCAAGGCTATCATTTTCTCTACATGTCAGCTGTAAAACTATTTCTATACAAGTGTGCTATTTTGAATTTTGCATTTTAAAGATTCTTTTGAATGTGTGAATAGAAGGTATGCCTCTGATCCTGCCTGCTTATAATTGCTTCCTAACTGATGCTCTTCGTACAGGGAAGCAATCTGAAAACGGAGCTTGATACTTTGAATGGTCAAGCTACGGCTTTGGCTGCTTTGGTTTCTATTTCGCCAAAACTACCTCTTGGTTATCCAGCTAGGTAATTATTCTAGTTTAGTTCGTGCCTCCAATAAACTCGCTAATGTCTTGGTTGTTGAATGTGGTTTAATTTTGCAAACTGTTGAGTTTCAAAGTGAATTGCTTCACATTTCCATGGGCTCCTAAGAACCAATTCAACAAGAGTGAGTGAGTTTTCAAACTAGGAGTTTGTATACCTTTGATCTTTGGAATTTATTCTTCACATGTTCACATGAATAGTAACCGGCCATAATAAAAATATAAACAAGTGGATGAATGAATGAATGAAGTTTCACTTTGAGGAATTGCCCATCTCTTTCTCTAACCTATTTAAAAATAAATAAATAAATAAAAAATAAAAACAATAACAACAACAAAGAAAGAAAGATGGCAAGGAGAAGACAAAAAAGAGAAAAGAGTAATGGAGTCTATATGAGTTAGTCTTTTTTTATGCTTTTTCTTATTCCATTCTGGATATATTTTAGCTATGCAACATTCCTCAAATCATTTTACTATACTCATCAACCATGCCTTGAACCCAGACCGGTTGGTGGCTCCATAGAGCTGCTTTCTCCATTTAGACCTGTCATGGATTAAACTCACTGCAAGCTCTTGTGATTTTAGATTCAAAATGCCCTACAATATCCTACCAAACTTGAGATAATTGGCATATTTATATAAAAGCAACACAGCTGGTTACAGATTTCGAATCCTGTACCTTTTGAGCACAAGTGATAGACAGGAGAACCTGTTTGTCTGATTGGGAAATTCCTATGTTCTAGGAAGCCCTCTTGTTCCGATTTACCAGTTTCTTTTTATTTCTTTTAATGATGATTATCTCTTTGGTTACTTGGAGTGTGGAACACTTGGTTTGTTACATGTGGAGAGTTACTTGTCTCAGAAGTAGGCTTCTTGGTATGGCTTTGCTAACCTTTTTAGGGCTGTATATTAGCAATAAGCATGCACCTTGATACAGTTAATTCTAGGCAACAAATTATGGTCTGGTTCTTCATTTGTGTAATCTTGCTCTCTTTGTACAAACAAAGTTGGTCTGGTATATTAAGTATTAACATTTGTGTATACATTAATAACCATTCAGAAGCCTATCGAACAAGTTAGCCTGTCGCACTGCTAATGCATTTGACTACATGGATCAGGGGTTCCCATTACTGGTTTATTAGTTTAGTGTTGGATCAACCCTTATATGTGCTCCATACCAAAAAAAAAAAAGGCATGTCATGCATGCATCACCTAAAAGTTGAGTATTTGAAGGGTACTTAAACTTTACATACCTCTGAGCCACCAGCATATTGAAATTATTGATATTTCTAGTTGAATTGATAACTTTTCAATCTATTGCAGGATTGGAAGTATGGTTTTATGCTGGGATTCTTCAGACCGAATATTTGATTTGAAATTTCCATTTCTCAGAAAACATAAAACATGGTTAAATAAGATATTTTTACAGCCCGTGATAGTTAGATGTATTTGCATGTTGACCACAGACTGGTGTGTTCACCATTTCATTCGATTTTATTTTCTTGCTGCTATACTAATGTTTATCTTCGAGTCTGGCAGTTAACCTGCTTTATAATTGTCTTCTTGTGCTCAGATTACCAAGATCAGTGCTGGAACTTTCAAAGAAAATGCTAACAGAATCTTCTAGAAATCCTATAGCTGCAGCAGTTGAGAAAGAAGCTGGATGGTTACTTTTGTCCTCGCTATTATCTTCAATGCCAAAGCAGGTTTACAGCCATTCTATATTCATTAGTTACTGTAACCACAGCATGAATGTTATGGTTAATAGTTATTCATTAATCACTGCAACTATGATGTTATTCTTGATGCATGTAGGAGCTTGAAGACCAGGTTTTTGATATTCTTTCCCTATGGGCTACCCTCTTCAGTGGAAATCCAGAACGTGAAATTAAACAAATTGAAGATTTGGCTTCTAAGATATGGTAAGCTGATACATCAAAGCATTGTTTGTCTATACTCTATCTGCTACTATGAAGTAACCCCTTTTTTCAATATCCTCTCTACATTTCATTTCTTTTTAAGAAACAATTCATCCTTTTTATTTTTGTTTAACTTAGACTGTAGTTATATTAAAAACTTCCTTTTGGGATCAAAAGAAAATCTTGGTTGATTGAAGGTGAGAGCACAATTGCACAAAGGATAGTAAGGCATTCAATCAGTAGCTTTCCTATCCCATTCAATGTCAGCTAATAACACCTAAAGAATCATTTGGAATTAGTGTGCCATAAACTGGTGATAAAACATTTTATGCTTGGAAATTATAGAATTTTGCTCCATTAAAAGACAATAGTACTTGCCAATAGTAGCACATTTTCATAAAATCTTGCATTCATTTCCTCTTCCAAAAAAATGCATGAATATCGTTTCACCTTACTTCGGGAGCTGATAACTCGTAGCAATAAGCTTATTCCACATATCCCAAGTCATTGTACAATAATTAGAAACATGACTGTCTACTCTCTATCAAGGCATATCATAAAAAATTACTCGAAATGTTTTATGAGATCCCTTTTCACGTGCAACTAAAAATGCTTTGGGTTCATTTTTTATCTGAAATTTTTAAATATTGATGAAAAGTTCATGATATGAACAGTTTAAGTTTTGGATAACAATGTATGGTTCAATTTTAACCTAGAAAGACTCAGATCTTGTCTCATATATATGAGTAGAAAAGAGTGTAAAAATAATGGCAGCTTTTTTTTTCCCCCTGGTATTCTAATGAACCTTAGCACTAATCTCCAGAGGTATCTGCATACACTGTTTCCATGTTTCTTATGTGGATTTTTATGATGAAAAGGATGAGTTCTAGAGAATAATTTGGAGTTCTTGTAAGAACCATTCTGCATTGAATACAAGATAGATCTCTGCTAAATATCCAATTTAAAACACCTCTTGTTTTGTTTCCAATTCATCACTGTTTCTAGCTGAAAAAAATGCCTTTGATACACAAGGTAGCTACTGATGTTATTGTGTTTGCTCGTTCTTTTTGCTTTCTGTAGTGTGTGGTCTGCAGCTGTTGATGCGCTGACAGCATTTGTAAGATGCTTTATTTCTCCCAATGTAGCTAGCAATGGGATTCTACTTCAACCAGTGATGGTATACTTGAGTAGGTACATTTTTCACCAGAGTTTCTTCACCTTGCACCCACCCTATTCCTTTCTTTTGGATTTTGATTTGTTTAACTTCATCAAGTGTTATGGTTCATGCTAAAAATTTGATTGTATTTGAAAACAGTGCTCTGTCCTATATACTATTGCTGCAATGGAAAGAGCTGCCAAATATTAAGCCTGCAATAGACATATTCATCATCAGAACATTAATGGCCTATCAGGCCCTCCCTGATTCAATGGCATATAAAAGTGACCATCCCAAGATTATCCAATTATGTACCATTCCATATAGGTAATTATGTCATATACTCTGATGGTGGTAATTTGTTTTCGTTTTTTATTTGTTTCTTTGTTGAGAAGTTTTACATTTTGTTTTAATGAAGAGAATTTATTATTGTAGTTTTTTTTTATTATTTTTAGAGAGAAAGAGTTGCATGACTGATTTCGCTATTGTTCCTTTGTGTTGGTTAAAAGGGATGCTCCTGGATGCGAGGAAAGTTCATGCTTGAGGTCACTGTTGGACAAAAGAGATGCATGGTTGGGTCCTTGGATTCCTGGAAGGTGCCTGAATCTTCATGGTTTTCTCGAACCATTTTTTCACAATGTCTATTATTTGGGTTTTCTGTTAATTGTTTTGTTACAATCATGCTATGTTTCAATATTTCATATAGAAGTTTGAACTCTCTCTTGCTAACCTTTTTTGCTGGTGTCTTTAATCAGGGATTGGTTTGAAGATGAAGTTCGTGCTTTTCAAGGTGGAAAAGATGGTCTTATGCCTTGTGTATGGGAGAATCAACCCTCAAGTTTTCCTCTGGTAACAACCGTTTCTTTGTTTCTAGCTGTGTCATTAGATGTTGTATTATTATTATTATTTTCTTATGTTATTTGTTTATGTAGCTATTGTTCTTGTTGTTATGTTACTTTATTCCTTATGCTGGAATTTATTTTGTTCTTGAAGCCAGAAACAATAGACAAGACGTTGGTGAACCAGATGCTTCTTTGCTTTGGAATCATGTTTGCTTCTCAAGTAGGGGGATCTAGTATTTGGCTTTGACATTTGTTTATCAATGTTTTAGTTGCAAGGGTGGGATATCTGACATTTAAATTTTCTGCTGATATTATATCCCAGGATAGTGGAGGGATGTTGTTGCTTCTTGGAATGGTTGAGCAATGTCTAAAAGCTGGAAAAAAGCAATCATGGCATGCAGCCAGTGTTACCAATATATGTGTTGGGTTACTCTCAGGATTGAAGGTTCTTGGCATCCCTCTTTGATCTGCTTAAAGCTCACTGTAGGGTTCAAGATTATTCATTCAGGATTCTATGCTATTTTCAGGCTTTGATTGCTTTACGTCCTCAACCTTTGGGACCTGAGATATTAAATGCTGCTCACGCAATTTTTCAGGTACTTAACTTTCATGGTGTGTTTGATGAAAGGGTGATGGAGGGAAAAATTACATCCCTTGTAACCCTACCTTTGTTTTGTTAGGGGAGTGGGAGGAGGAGGGTAATTGTTACCCTTGGTGAGTCGGGGTTAACTATGGTAACAATTCCCCCTCCAAAAAAAAAAAAAAAAAAAAATGTTTCCTTTCAATCTCTCACTTCCTTTTTCCCTCAAAAGATAGACTCAAATAATTTTTCATCTCCATGTCTGTCTCTAATCAGTAATAATATATGTTAGTCATTCTCTCGTTCCTCTAACTATTCACCCTTCAATTTATTAATAAAGCAAACATCCTTAAAATCCAACTCTCATGAGAAATTTTATAATATACAAGGAGTAACCAGTGATATGTACAGTAGTTACTCCATGGACCTACTTTGAGGAGAGAGATAGACAAGAAAAGGAGAGAAAATTAAAAAAAAATTGAGCAAACGTGGAAATCTTTTTATCACTTTTGTTGGGTCCGGATGTAATTCAATGTGTGTATCTCTCTCCTCAAAGTGGGTTCATGGAGTAACTACTATATATGCTACTAGTTACTTCTTGTGTATTATAAAATTTCTCCAACTCTTACATGCTTAACAATTACTCCCTCAATAATTATTCTTGTAATGTCACACCTGCATTTTTTGACCTTGAAGCAAAGGCACCCCTAGCAGAATACCTTGTATTGAACCTGTTACTATCATGCATTTGGTTATCATTATGCCTTTTCTTCATTTTCTTGCTTTAATTTGTCAGAGTATTCTGGCAGAGGGGGACATCTGTGCATCCCAACGTAGAGCATCATCAGAAGGTCTTGGTCTATTAGCTCGCCTGGGAAATGATATCTTTACTGCCAAAATGGTTAGTTGTACTTTGTATTGTCTTGGTCTATTAGCTCGCCTGGGAATGATATCTTTACTGCCAAAATGGTTAGTTCTACTTTGTATTGTCTATGTAGTATTTCTGCTCTCTTATGATGAACTTGATTGTAATTGTTGATGTGGAGATGCTATACTTCTTTCATGGAGGTTAAAGTTTTATATTTTTCTTCTCAGCTAGGATTCTTGATAGCTCTGTCCCATTTCATGTGTTTATCTGATGGTCTCTCTCTCTCTTCCCCTCCTTTATGATGATAAACAGACTAGGCTGCTTCTTGGTGACCTTCCTGGTGCAACAGATTTCAGCTATGCTGGCTCAATTGCTTTTGCACTTGGCTGCATTCATCGCAGGTGAATAGTAATTTTTTTCATTTTTTTTTTTATTGTGCTCTTAAAGTTTTCTGCTTTCCTGTTGGTTGTATATGACACTGATGGCTCCTTAAACATCTTATTATTTTACTGAGAAAGTAATTGGAAGGTGCTCCTTATGTTTATTGAAGACTATATAACGACTGTATATCTAAACAGTTGCTTTGAGATCGTTTTGTTGCTGTGGCATCTCTCTGGTGCATTTAAGGGAATACAATTACCTTGTTTTTCTCAGAGATTGAAGCTCTTTTGAATTTTGTACTGAGTATCGATGGTTTTTTTTCTTTCTCCTAAATTGATATAAGTTTGTTGGTAGAGCTAGTAGTTAGAGGTGGTGAGGAAATTTCAAACCACCCCTTAAAGTTGGGTATGTAGAATCATAGGTTTGTACTTAAAGTTGGGTATGAAAAGAGATCTTCAAGGTCATTTTTTTTTCCCCTTTTATCCGAATCTATTGCATATATTTTAACTGACAGCTTGGGAAACCTAATGCATAGCTAAAATTTTTGAATGTTAGAGAAGAGAAAGAAGGAAAACACTAGGTTAACCGGGTTTGGTCATAAGACCTACATCCATAAGAGATCTTTTTTTAATTTATTATGTGTCCGTTATGTTTACAATGGAGGACTCTTCTTTTTATAAGGGACAAAATACACCAGAATAGGAAGGAAATAATAGGACAGAAAATCAAGATGACAGAAATCAAGATTGATTTTCTATGATTATAAGACCTTCCTAAAATAGCAAAGAATATTCTCCAATATTACGTTTTCCCACACTCTCCCTCAAGCTGGTGCGTAGGTGTTCTCCATTCCCAGCTTGGATACAATACTTTGAAACACCGAGCTATTTAACCCTTTAGTAAGCACATCAGCAAGTTGACCATGTGTAGACACATAGGTTGTACAAATCAGACCGCTCTCCAACTTCTCTTTGATGAAGTGTATCAATTTCGATGTGTTTCGTTTGATCATGTTGTATTGGGTTGTGGGCTATACTAATTGCAGACTTGTTATCACGAGTAAAGTCTCATCGGACCATCCCACTTAACCTTCAAGTCTTCTAGAATGATCTTCAACCACGGTAGTTCACACACTCCTTGAGCCATTGCTCGGAATTCCGCCTCTAAAGTAGACCTTGCAACTACATTCTGTTTTTTACTCTTCCATGTCACAAGATTTCCACCAAGAAAGGTGCAATATCTAGTAGTTGATCTTCCGTCAACAATTGACCCAGCATAATCAGCATCCGTGTATGCCTCAAGTGCTAAGCCTTCATTCCTTTTAAACAAAATACCTTTCCCCGGTGTTCCCTTGAGGTACTCGTAACACTCGGTGAGTTGCCCGCAAATGAACTTCTTTTGGGTTATGCATAAATTGACTAATCACACTAACTACATATGCTATATCCGGACGCGTGTGACATAGATAGATGAGTCTTCCTACCAATTGTTGATACATCTCCTTATCCACTCGCAACATCCTCTTCATCATTTCCAAGTTTAAGATTTGGATCTATTGGAGTACTTGCTAGTTTGCATGCTTGTCTTGCTCGTGTCTTTGAGGAGATCTCGTAACATACTTTTGGTAGGAGATAAAAATACCTTGCCTAGAGTGAGCAACCTCAATCCTAAGAATATTTTAACCTCTTAACTCTTTGATCTCAAATTCCTTAGCTAAACATTGACTTGGGATCTGTCTCTCTCGTCATCATCTCCCGTCACTATTATGTCATAAACATAAACCAAGAGAACTATAACTCCCCTTGAAGGTGAGTGTTTAATGAATAACGTATGGCCCCTTTGGCTTTCTATGTATCCCATAGCTATCATAACTTTAGCAAATCTCTCAAACTATGCTCGTTGTGATTGCTTTAGGCCATACAAGGCTTTCTTCAACCGACACACGGGATTAGCAACCAAGTTCTTCTCATAACTCAATGGAACCTCCATATAGATTTCTTCCTCTAATTCTCCATGCAAGAATGCATTCTTAACATCAAACCGTTGTAAATCCCAAGCATAATTAGCTGCTAATGATAGCAAAACTCGAACAGGTGTTCATCTTTGGAACGGGGACAAAGGTCTCTTGATAGTCAATTCCATAGGTTTGAGTATACCCCTTGGTTACCAATCTTGCCTTATATCTTTCTATGGATCCATCTGCTCGTATACTTCACCGTATGCACCCATTTGCACCCCATAGGTTTCTTTCCAGTCGGTAGCTTCACCAACTCCCAAGCTTTATTTTTTTCCAATGCTTCTATCTCCACATTCATAGCTTGTTTTCATTTCTCATTGGACAAAGCCTCGGATAAGGTGGTTGGAATGGTAATGGTATTTAAACCAACAAGGAAGGCTCTATGAGATGGTGAAAAATTCTTAAAGGACAAGAAGTGTGCAAGAGGGTATAAAGGTTGTTTGGTGCATTCATTTGCTCCTTTCCTAATAGCAATGGGAAGGTCCCGATCGTCAATCCTCTCATGAGATCCAAATTCATTATGCAATAAGGGATTAGAAATTGTTACTTCATTCTCGGGATTTGGGTTGGATTCTTGGACTTGCCTAGATTTAGGAGCACCCATCTTCTTCCTTATGAACACTTTTCCTTTGCCAAATCTCACATTTTCAAGAGTAGAGTCGATTTTTTCTTGAGGAATAGGTGCGGGAGGATGTTCAAGAGAATTTTCAGAAATGGATGGTGAAATAGGCTTTTCAAGAGACGAGTTAGACTCGGGAAGGGATGTTAGAAAAATTCCTTATCTTCCATGGTAGAATGCTCTCCTGGAAGATAAGGAGTGGTGAAATAAGACTCTTGTTCATTGAAAGTTACGTCTACTCGAAACATAGAACTTTTTAGACAGAGGATACCATTTATACCCCTTTTGATTAGAAGAGTAGACTACAAAGATACATTTTATTGCCCTTGGATCCAATTTTCCCTTGTTTAGACTATGGACATGGATGAATGACACACACCCAAAAACTTTAGGGATAAGGTTATTTGTAGTATGGAGGTTAGGGTAGAAGGTTGAGAGTACTTCTATTGGATTTTTAAACCCCAATACCCTAGAAGGTAAACGGTTTATGAGATGAGTGGTCGTAAGAATAGCTTTCCCCTAGAAAGATTTAGGCACATGGTTTTGGAATAATAAAGCTCGGGTTGTTTCGAGGAGGTGACCATTCTTCCTTTCGGCAACTCCATTTTATTGTGGGGTATAGACACAAGATGACTCGTGTATTATTCCTTTTTGAAAATATGGAGTTAGGATTTGATTAAAATAATCCCTTGCATTATTTGACCTAAACCTCTTGATGCCGACTTCGAATTGGTTTTTAACAATGGAACAAAAATTTGGGAGAACGAGTACTAACATCGGATTTATGTTTGAGTAAAAAAATCCGAGTAACATGAGTGCAATCATCAATAAATGACAAACCATTTTGCCCCGTAAATATTAGGAATAGTACATGAGCCTCAAATATCATTGTGAATGAGATAAAAAGAACGAACTTCTATTAGTACTAACCGAAAAAGATGTATGTTTGTGTTTAGCAAGCTCAAACACTTCACAATGAAAGTTTTCAACATTTAGGCCTTTAAAGAAAGAGGGAAACAAAATTTCAATAACCCTAAATGATGGATGTCCATGGTCGGCGATGGTGAAGCCAAACTTTCTCTTTATTGGATGAAAGAATTTCTGAAATGAAGGAATGAGATAATCTATCCTTGATAATGTTCAATTGACTTGGTGTTTCAAGGTAGTAGAGGCCATCCTGTTCTTTAGCATGTCCAATCATCTTCCCCGAATCCTTGTCTTGAAATACGCAATAACCGGGATTAAAAATCACTTTGCAATAGAAATCTCGAGTGAGTTTGTTTATAGAGATAAGGTTTGTAGACAATCTAGGAACATGAAAGACATTTTTCAGAATCACGGATGGACTTATTTGGGCATCTCCTACATCTCGCTATCGTGGTTAAAGCCCCATCAATAGTGGCTATTTTTCTACTTGCTTGGACATGGAGAATAAGTGGTAAAAATATTTGGTGAGTGAGTCATGTGGTCAATGGCTCGAGTCCATGACCTAGGAGTTGGCAAATTTTGTACCCGAGACATTGAACCCAATAGAGAGTGGAAATTGAAGAAAATAATATTTGGGAAAATAATTTCAGTATCTTTCTTTACACAACTACGGATATATATATATATATATATATACACACACATAGAGAGTCCTAAGATAGGAAAGAATTCCTAAAGAATAGGAAAATAGAATAGGATCCCTACGGAATAGGAAAGAATATACAAAATATTTCCTATCTAAATATATCTCGTTATTTCCTACACTCCCCCTCAAGCTGGTGAATATAGGTCTTCCATTCCCAGCTTGCATATATTTTCCTGAAATGCATGATCTGTTTAATCCTTTTGTTAGAACATCCGCCAACCGAAGATCCGTAAGAACATATGGAGTACAAATTAATCCATCGTTGAGCTTTTCCTTAATAAAATGTCCGTCCACCTCTATATGTTTAGTTCATTCATGCTTGCACTTGGATTGTGAGCTATACCGATGGAAGATTTATTATCACGAGTAGAGCTTTATTGGACCACACCATTCAACCTTCATATCTTCCAAGATGATTTTCACCCCACAATAGTTTACATATACCCGCTGTCATTGCTCTAAATTCAATCTCTCGCACTTGATCGTGCAACCACATCCCGTTTTTTACTCCTCCAAGATATCAAGTTTCCTCCAACAAAAGTACAATATCCCGTA